ACATGAAGGTAATATTAAAGATGGTGGCCTCTGAGTTTTGGAAAGCCTTACAGTGATTGTATAACACTTTTTCTCTTCACTGGTGTCTCCCCATATGTAGTTACATTCCTCTGATAATTTTTGTCAAGACATCTTTACCCATTTCCTTTATTATGGAGCTATTCAGCACTAAGGAAAAAGCTCCCCTTTGCTTGCAGAACTCATTTCTCTGTTGTGACAACTCATTTCTCTGTTGTGACATGGCTGATAATACTGCCATCCCACTAATACTGAGCTCAACAGGTACCCAGGTGCCCACAGGGCTGCTCACATAACAGGGCACCTGAAGGCTTGGGCTGCTGGACAGAACTCATTAAACCACAGTATTTTGTCTTTTTTTTAAATTAAACATGAATTGTGTTTAATATTTCTAACATTTTGTCCTTTCAGAGGTAAAAGCTGGGTAGGAGCTTCTAGAATTAGAAGAATCTTTATATATAAAAGTCTTCTGTGATCTATACTGGCTCTCAGGTACCAGGAGGTTCATGTAGGCCTTTCCACACTACTGTCCACTCTTGGTATTACTTAGACTTGGATTTTCCAAAGCATTCCAGTGCAGGCATTAGCATGGCTCATTCACGATCCCTGTTGTGGGCAGGCTCCCAGAAAAACTGAGCCTGTCATTCACCCCAACTAACTCTTCAGGAAAAATTGAAATAACCTGAGATTTTTAGCTGTTTGAAAGACTTACACATTTTGGTCCTATCTGAACTCAGCACATGAAAGGAAATCATTCTGGACACAGCTTGATTAACCTCAGGGATTCCTTCTGCTGTGAGAAAACCAAAGCAAATAGCATTCTAGTTTTAAGATAGCCTCATCTTCAAATTTTACCCAAATTTCCAAATTTGCCCATAGCTAGTGATAAGCCTGCGTAAAAGAGTGGAACTAGATGCTGCTGTGTAAAATCAGACCTGTTTTTGAAAGGGAAAATGCTGAATGCTCTGTTATGAGCATAAAATCTGCCCACGCACCGAGTTTAGCTTTGCAGTGTAGCAGAGAAGAGCTTTTCTTAACCCAGCCACGTTCACTCTGTGTGCCAGGGCGTCCTGAGTAACTCCCACCATCACTCTGGGCTGCTCTCAGAACTGCACAAGCTGCTTTTTGGGAATTAAACCTTATACTGAGTTATTGACCACTGCTAGGCCTGGAGCAAGAAGGTTCAAAGTTTAAATATACACGGGGCAATAAAATCCATACTTGTTATTTCATTTAGTGAGCACGATCCCACCTACGGCACCAGGTGTGGGTTATAAGAACAGGTAACAAAATACTGCCGAGAAAATGAATAATTTACCTTCCCTCACCTACAGCCGTAATGAGTAACCCCGTACAGATTTCTAGTTGAACAAACCGGTACAAAAAGACTTGCCTTGTCTCGGATACAGGGTTCTGTAACCTTGTAACGAGGTTTCCATTGCACATGAGACACTTGGAGAGCTGTCACCATGGGCAGCTTTCCCCAGCCCCCAGAAGCTGCTCCCAGGGAGGGGGAATGGAGGGAGCCCCTGCACAGGGTCAGGAGTATGGACAGCACGGACAGCCAGCAGCACACCTGTGCAGCATCACCTGCAGAAGCACCACCTGCAGCAGCATCACCTGTGCAGCAACATCACCTGTGCAGCATCACCTGCAGCAGCACCTGTGCAGCACCTGCAGCAGCACATCACCTGCAGAAGCACCACCTGCAGCAGCATCACCTGTGCAGCAGCATCACCTGCAGCAGCATCACCTGTGCAGCAGCATCACCTCTGCAGCATCACCTGTGCAGCACACCTGCAGCACATCACCTGCAGAAGCACCACCTGCAGCAGTACACCTGCAGCAGCACACCTGCAGCAGCACACCTGCAAGCTGAGGAGAAGGCAGAGCTCCTCCCAGCACACCGCTGAGCGCCCCTGTCCCGCACCCCCTGTGCCCCAGCAGCTGCCCAGGGACCCTGTGGCACAGCTGGCACCAGTCCCTGCGTCCAGCCAGGCCCACCCTTGGGGCAGCAGTGACCCATGGCAGTGCTGAGTGTCAGCTTCTTCACACATCAGGATCCCTCCCTCTTCCTCCTCCTTCCCTGGCCCTCACAGAGCCAGTTCCCATGCCAACCAGTGGGCACCCTGGCTGTCCCTGCCGCCTCAGACCTGCTGCCAGGCAGAACAACACCAGGACCCCTCGTCAGGATGGGACCCAAGGGGACAGGAGCCAGCACAGGCGATGGAGGGGCCAGGACATCCCAGAGCACCAGAGCAGAACACTGAGGTGTGCGAGACCTCCCCAGCCCAAACAGCGGCACCAGAGAACACCTGACCTGCACATGGACAGGGGACAAACAGCCCTGTGCCCACTGTGCTCAGTGTCCTCTGCCTCTAAGATTGTCTCTGGCCTTGCAGACAGCTGGAGCAGCTCAGGCAAACAGAGAGCACAGGAATCACCGAACCTCAGCTTCACAAGAAGTCACAGGGCTCTGTGAACACACCAGCAGCTCCAGGGCTCAGCACACTTCAGCAGTGTCCAAGAGCCCCCAGCACATTTGTCCCAGAAGTGGAGAGGGCTCCATTGCCCTGTGCCCAACTTCTAAACTACACCACATAAGCTTAACACACTTTAGGTACTTTAAAATATCAATTTGCCACGAGAACTGCTGAAGTTGCCACAGAGACGTTGCCCAGCCTTAGATGAGAGGGAGACTGCGACTGCTGCAGGGATAACCCATGAAAAATATTTATTTTAGATATTTGGGAACTCACGTCAGAAGGGAAACATGAAAACACCTGATCTGCTTCTACAAAACCAAACCAGAAATGACACCTTTTTTTTCTGAATTGCACGCTGTACATCATATTAAAAACAAACAGAAGTGTGATTAAAACACCAAGCAATCCTCCCGAGCACTGTACGGCTGGGCACACTGTCTCAAGTTTGGTTGCTGAACCTATGTAACATTGTATTTTTTGTCGCAGTACTATATAACATTGAATATTTTTGTTGCAGTTTTGCATAAATGTTAACATCAGTGCTTTGAGTGTCTGAGACAGACAGGATTTCATACAATTAAAACCTGGGGTTTTTTTTCTATTTATTTACTTATATATTACCAAAAAAAGCAAACAGTGTCATGGATAAACTGCTTGCTCCTAATACTCCATTAATTTCTCTGATACAATTATCTCAGGCTTTGACACTTCGAGAAGTAAACTCAGTTTTCTCTCTCTAAAAATCAATCTCTGGGCACTACTATAAACGAAGGAAAAAGAGTACAACACACACCCCCCAGCCCCAGCAGCACTACAAATCATTTCCGTCCCTTATGCCACAAAATTAAACACCTTTCCTCTCGCTGCTGACCCTGAGCTGCCCACAACATGATCATTTGGTTGATCAGCTACAAGCAACGTCTCTTTGCCAGTTTCAATGGAAATTCACCATCCTGCGCAGGCAGCTTACCTCCTGCCGCTGTTTACTCTTCAGCAGTTCACTCTGCCATTACTTTGCCTGAAAATCTTGATATTTTCATGTCTTTAAAGTGTCTAAGTTCAGGTGCACGTACTTGAGGCTTCTCTCCAGCCTCACCTGAGCGGCTGTGCCCGATGGCACGGGCCAGCGCGGTTCCTGCGAGCTCCTGTCCCGGACCACAGTGCGGAGCACCCTTCCGCCAGCACCGCCACTGTCTATTTCTGTATTTCCCTTCCTGCTTCTACACAGCTCCTAATGTAAAGGGTAGAACATCATTCCTAATGTCACAGCCAAGCGTCTGGAGTCCTTTATTCTGCGCACGGTGGATCCGCGGGTGCCCCGGTGCCCGCTCGGGCAGAGCCTCTGCCGCCGCCTCGTCCGCCAGCTGTGCGGGGACTCTGCTTGCCATGAAAGAGCGACAGCCTAACCTGACCGGACCCCTGCCGTAAAAAGCGCTCATCCAGGTGATTTACCTGATTTTAATCGCACTTTTTACACTTCAGTCATTCCTGGGGAATCGCTGCGATGCCGCTGACACTCCATCCTCCTCCTCCTTCACATCCGAAAGGAGCGAGGGGTGCTGTCGGCGGGCTGTCCCCGCGTGTACCCCCTTTAGCCCAGTGACCCCTCCGCCGGCACGGCTGCCCGGGCGGCGCGGTGGCTCTTGAGGCTCTCGGTGCCCCCCGAGTCGCCGCCCTCGCCCTCATCACACCAGGCGCCACCGAAGTTCCGCCGCCCGCCGCAACTCCGCCGCGGCCGCCCATTGTCTGCGCGCCGGGAGGCGCTTTGGGGAGAAACGAGCCGAAAAGCCGAGTCCTGCGCCCCGCCCGGCCTGCCCGCCGCTCCCCTGCCCGCGGCCCCGCCACGGCAGGCCCCGGCTCCGGGCAGGGCCGGGGGTGCGCGGGGGTCCCCGGGGGCGGGGGCGCTGCCCGGCGGGGCCGCGGGGCGGGCGCTGCGCCAGCGAGGGCTCCCCCGCCCGCTCCCACCGCCCCGCCCGGCCCCGGCGCCCAGGGGCTGCTGCCAGGGCGGCGCTCCCCGCGGCCCCCGGCCCTCCCCGGCACCGGGGAGCCCCGCGGGAGCCGCGGTGCCCGAGCCCTGCCCGGGCGGGAGGCCGAGGCGCGGGGGCCGAGCCCGCTGACAGCGCGGCCGAGCCCCGCAGCCGCCGCCGCGGCCGCGGCCCCTCGCTCCCCGCCCCGGGCCCGGCTCCGGGAGGGACGCGGCGCGGAGCCACGGGCGGGCGGCGCAGGGCGGCCCCATCCCCTCCCCGGGCGAGCACAATGGCCCCCGCCAGCCCGGGGCTCCGGTGTCACCGCGGGGGGAGCAGCTTTGTGTCGGGAATCCGGCCCCGAACCCACAAAACACACAAAACCAGCGCGCGGGGAGCGCGGGAGCGGCGCCGGGAAGCGCGGCTCCTCCTTCCCCGCTCCGGGAAGGCCTGCGGGAGGGAGCGCGGCGGCGGGAGCACCGGGGGCGGCGGGGCCGGGGCCGGCCTCGGGGTGCCGGGCGCGGTGCGTTACCTGCCGTGGAACCAGTCCTTGCAGGCGTCGCACTCGATCATGAAGCGGGTCACGTCGTAGGGCAGCCGGCAGATGCAATAGACGGGCACCGTCGCCATGTTCGCGCCGACCGCGCCGATCCGCTCCGCTCGCGGCCGCCCGCCCGCCCGGCCGAGCGGAGCGGAGCGGAGCGCGGCGGGGCCGAGGCGCCGAGGGGGGCGGCACGGGGGAGGAAGGGGAGAGCGGAAAAACAGAAAGAATACAAAATAATAAAAAACGCTATAAAACCGCGACAGCGGATTTAGGGCTCCAGAGGGGCGGGCGCGCGGTGCCGGAGGACAGGGAAGCGCTGCCCGGAGCCGGGGGCCATGGCCAGGTCCCGCCGCCCGCCGGCGCCGCGGGCCGGGGCTCTCTGTTGTTGTTGTTGTTGTTGTCCCTCCAGGATGGTGATTCCCGGTGCTCGGCGATCGCGGCGGTGCCCCCTGGTGACAGCCCGGCGCGGCCTCCCCGGCGGGCCCGGCCTTGCGTCAGCCCGGAGGGAGCGGGGCCGAGCGGGGCCGGGCCGGGCGGAGCGGAGCGCGGCGGAGCGGGGCTCCCCGGTCGGGGCCGGGGCGCGGCGGGGGCTCGGCGGAACGCGCGTGTTTTTGTTAACCCCCGCCTGCCGGGAGGGAGCTGCCCCCAGCCGGGGGGGCCTGGGGGGCGGTGCGGGGGCACCGGGAGCGGGGAGCGCTCGGGGGCTGTGCCGAGGGGGGGACCCGCTCGGGCCGCCGGGGTGTCTCTCTGCCGCAGCGGGCAGAGCCCAGCGAGGAGCGGGGCGCTCCGGGCCGCCCCAGGGGCGAGGGAGCCCCGAGAAGTGGCCGCAAGTGCGGAGCGAGCCGCGGAACAACGCCCGGCCGGGTGTGCGGAGGGGGCAGCCAGACACACAGCGCGCCCGGTCCGCATCTAAAGCACCCAAAAGAACGAGCTTCTTTCTCTTCAGTAACATGATCTTAGTGGGGCTTTAACCACCTGGGGGGTTTACTGAGGGGTGGAACGAGGTGATCTTAAAGGTCGCCTCCAGCTCAAAGCACCCTGTGATTCTCTATTTGTATAATTTCTGCTTTTAAAGTCACCAGCTCTGCTCACAGCAGCCCTTTCCCTGCTGTGACTCCCAGGGGATGGCAATGAACACCTTGTGCCCACCAAGAACCAGATCACAGCAGCCTGTGGGCTGTGGGGGCACACTGAGGCCTGATTGACCATGAACCCCAGCACTGCACAGCCCCAGGGACCTCCTGCCGTGCAGAGGCCAAAGAGGAACACACAAAGAGTGTGAGCTGGGGCTGAGGGTGCCGAACCTTGCTGCCCTGCCATGCCAAGGCTCTGACAGGGGTTAGACAAACAGGCTGGGGGCTTTTGGAATAACTTCTCTTCCCAGAGTGTTCAAAGGCCAGTGGCACTTTTCCCTAAGGAGCAAGATCTTCCTACAGTGTTCACAAAAGGCCTTCCAACCAAGGTGGGATTTTAACTCTCTTACGGTGGATTCAGCATTTTGAATCCTTTACATTTGGTGGTGTGGCAGGGGATTTGTCTTTGAGCAAAAAACTAAAACTGACATATCTCAGACTTTCTTCATCTCTCTACAAAAATCCTCAGAATCACCTGTGGAGGAAAAGAGTGATTCTTGAAGCCAAAAAACTTCAGTTTCAAGTTTGTCTACGGAGAGGCAGCTGTTGTTGAATGGCTGAAAAGGGGCTTGCCCGTGCCCCCTGCATGGATGTGCCACAGGCAGGACTGTCACACACAGGCTGTGTGTGACTGCCACCCTTAGCCCTGCCACAGCAGGTCACCTCTGACACAGCTCAAGTGCAGTGACACAGTGGGAGGCCCCAGGCGTGCATCCTAAACTGTCACTTGGTGCTTTTGAGTGTCTCAAGTGTACCAAGGGACCTGCTTCCTTCATCACCATGCACCATGTAAGAACCTGCCCCCTAAAACCACCCCTCTTTTAAGTTTAAATCTATTGGTCATGGCTTTAATGGTTCAGAACTTCAGCCAGAAAGTGGAAGATCAAGTCCTGGGAGTACAGCAGGATGGGGCAGAATGGCTTGGGAGCCATCACAGAGCTTCAGACACCTTTACACTGATCCTCAATGCCAAGGACATCTCCCCACACCACTCAGCTCAGGGTGCAAACGAGCCTTAGAGACTGGCATGTCCTTTGGTACAGGATGGGCTTTGTGCCTCTGCACACCCTGCACAGCAGCAGCTGCAGCCTGAGGGGCCTCCCTCCCTTCCTGGAACCAGTGTTGTCATGCTACAGAGCATGGAAGCACAGGGCAGATCCGTGGTCTCTGAGGCCTCTTCCAAACAAAATGACTATTCCCTGAAGCAGCTCCTCCACACCACGTTCTGTGCCCATGTTCCCCCTCTCAGCTGTTTATGGGCTTTGCCCACCCAGCCCATATCAGATGTGAAGAATTTTTCTCATTCATTTTCCTTAGTCCCACAAGCATCTCCATGCAAACAGCTTTATTTCCAAGGCACCACCCAAATTCCAGTGTTATCATGTCCCAGCTGCTGCAGTGGGTGAGCCAAACCTCTGGATGCCCTGGGGTTTGGTGCTCCCTACAGAGGGCAGCAGGGCCATGCCTGAGTGCAGCCAGGTGCTCCTAGGGGCTGGAATCACATCCAGCTTTCCATTGTCCATTGCTGGCCCTCAGGTGATGCCATGCCTAGCAGCAGAGTGGTGTGTCTGTGGTTTTACTCCTGTTTTTATAGTGCCCATGTTTTTATGGATACTGCCAAGTGCCACAGTCAGTTGGGCCATCTGTAATTGTGCTGGAGGATGCTGGAGCTGACACTGCATGGAAATGCAGAAGCTCTGTTCTGGCAGCTCAGGCATCTTACTCATTGTTTTAACAGGGATTAGTGAATTAAGAGACTTATGGGTGCGGTTGTCCCACCGTCCTGAGCTCTTCATGAGCATTTCAATCCAGAGGGTGCCCAGCTGCCCTTGGGAGGGCAGGGTGAGCCATGGGGCTGTACCCAGGTGCCTCAGCAAAACACCATTTGATCAGAGTTCACTGTTTGAAATCCTGAAGTGCATTTTAATGTGTATTTTTAAAGTGATTGGAAAAAAGTGGCACAGGCCCAAATAGAGGACAGTGACCCTCACAGTGTTGCTGTGCAGGGCCATGAGCATTCTCCAGCCCAAAACTCCACAGAAGAGGGAGACACACAAGTCCATCACTGCCTCAGGCTGATCCCCACTTATTTAATCTCTCGCTAGGGATCAGGACACTTCCTGAGGCATCAGAATGTTCATGTTTCCCAAATTCAAAGCACCCACGAATTTCCCAGGTAAAAGAGACTTTCAAGTGTTTAGAACCTTTTCTATTTTCTGAGAGCTGTTAAGAACAAGAAACTGGAGTAAGATAACAGAGAAATAAAACACTGTTAAATGACTCCTCTTCTCCCATCCCATCCCATCCCATCCCATCCCATCCCATCCCATCCCATCCCATCCCATCCCATCCCATCCCATCCCATC